TCAATACATGTAAGCTATATCAGAGGACGTACTGATGTTAGTCAAGGCAAGAAGGCCCTAGCATAAAAGCAATCATTAGGCGCCACCTATCTCCGTTCTATTGAGTATTCAGAGTAAACATACCACAGGTCCAGCCAGAAACCATTTGTGCGTTACTGAGCAAGTCGTTAATGAAAGTCGATGAGATGCGGAAACGAACACGAACAGTAGTATATCCGGGATGTGAAGAAGCTATTAAAGGTATCGAGTTACAGAGCGAACAATCGATTCAGGGAAAACTTACATTTGAGAGATGAAAGATACCATATACTAAGTGCTTTAGCGGGTGTACGAACATTGACGAACATATATCCTTACGATAGCTAACAGTTGTACCTGACAAAACTGAGCTGCTGATGTAGTCGTCATTACACAAATCTTTGACTCACTAACGCCGTTCTAACAGGTGTCAGGAAGCTTAGTGAACATCCACGATAAATTACGACGCAACCATACCTCGGCATAGCATCTAGTCCCGCCAAGTCCCCAAAACGGTTTATCAGGTCCTCATATGCCCATGCAATGAACGTCACGATGTGGGTTGTAGCCAGAAGTCTAAGTTCCTATCAGAGAAAGTTCTGATGCGCGCAGATATGACCTCACGCCAGCGAAAGCACCATCAACTTGACCATGGACGAGTCCGCTGACCATAAATTACCACGAAAATATTGGAATACTACGAGCTACGCAGACGAGGATTTCAGTCCGTGTAAGCGGCCTGAGACTGGATTCGGCCCTACCATGCCGGCGCCGTAGCACCTACCAACGAGAAAAATTAGTATGCACCTCTAACGACAGTAGAAAGATGGTCTCACATCAAGTCGATGGTGAAAGCGACGAACATACAGCCAAAGGTCGCATTGAAACTTTCCGCCATAGCGAATGTGAGGAGGAAAGGGCGCGCAACATGATGCGACAATAGCCCAGGACTTTTTGAGATATTGTAGATCTGCAAATTACAATTTGTTTCTCTGGAGATCTCCTGGAATATTGCGTGAGAATTTGTATCAGGATCGCGTGCAGTTGGCTACGTGTCCTTCCCTTCCCTTCACTGGATTCGAGGACCGAAATTTAATCGTCTGCTGAGGATTTTGCCACCGCTGAAGCTGTATACTCGAAGCGCAGACCGCTCTACCATTGTTTGTTGGGAACCGGCTATTCCTCCCGAAAGGAAGCGGAGTTTAAACTCAGCTCCAGGGCAATCTTTGTTTTTTCTGTTCCACGTTTTGGAGAGACTAGACTCTTACTTTATCGCGCGCTCCTTCCCTGATATACGATGAATTGAACCACAAGACTGTCTAGAAAAGACTAGCTCCTTTCGTCGATCTGATTCGAACATATTCGCCTTCCAAGGTAACGCAAAGAAGTAAAAATTTTTTAGCCAGGCCAAGTCTTATCCAGGTAATCAATACCAATAGGCTTTGTTTGGACTCTATGTAGTTCCTGGCTTCTGTACTTGGTTATATGTATTTCAGTCGACGACGCTGATGGGTTACCGTCACAACTCTCTTCCCTTTTTCTCTATGTCGTATACAACTGGTGTTGGTCCCGTGGACGGCAATGGCACAGTGCTCTTCTTCACCGACAGCGGGCCAGTTGCAGGTTCTGCTGACTACACAACTGTAGTCATCTTTCACGGTAGTGCCTTCACGGGCCGTAAGTTTTTCTTCTGATACTCGATGTCGCGTATATCTCATCCCTGAGTCCGTTTAGATACCTTTCACAGGCTCCTCCCTATGGCAGCGGAAAATAATCTGCGTCTTGTCATTGTGAACCGACGTGACTATGCCGGCTCAACGAAGTATGCCGACGAGGAACTTGCGGAGCTGAGGGGGGGGAAGACAGAGTTTTTACAGCGCCTAGGATCCGAATCGGCGTACTTTTTGGCTTGGTTTATTAAGACTAACGATATTCCCAAGATCGGCGCCGACGGCAAGTCCGGAGGATTGGCTACTATTGGATGGAGTCTTGGGACTACGACGTATATCCGCTTTTAAGTTTTGCCATGATATTTACGCTGATTGCGTTCAAGTCCACTTGCCATTCTCGCCCATCCGGAGATTATACCCAAAGAGACATACGACGCATTAGAGCCATACTTCCGACAGATGATCTTTTACGGCTAGTTCTTCTCTTCTACCCAGACTTTCAATCCCCCTCATTTTCCATCAGACCCACCCCATCTCGCTTTCGGATACGATCAGCCACCGGAAGGATACAACCCGTTCACTGATCCCGAGCTCAAGACAGCTGAAGCAATCTTTGCCAACTTTGGATACTGGGTCAGCACGTACTACGACCATCCGGATCTTGCATCACGTTCCCCGAGCGGACTTGACTTCAGGAAACGTGGTACATGTCCGTCAATCGAGAACATGACGCCAGATGACATGAAGGTTACTTTCGACGGCGAGGCAGCCGGAAGGATGGAGTTTCCCATGTATGTCTCCATTTCCTCCCCCGAGTTATAACTTGTTAGCGTCCGTCGAATCAGGTATTTCCCTCCGATGCAGCCTACTATCAGGAAACAGACCGAGACTGCGTTATACGACGAAGAGGCGATCAAGAAGATTCTTCCAAAGCTGGAAATCGTTCATCAATTTTGTACTGCGACCAACTGGTACTGTGTGTGGGGATTCTTTAGGAACGAACGCCTCGCTCCGAAGCGGCCTATCCGCTTTATCGAGATCCCAGGAGCAAATCATTTCGTACGTCGACTTTTTCTATTATTTCGTTCCGGATTGTGGTATTAATATTCATGTCTAGGTTCATTGGGATGATCCCAAAGCGTATATGGAGGCGACGGTGAAAGGCCTTACGACATGATAGTTATCATGGTCCCTTAGTAAACAACTTTTATAAATATAGATACGGTCAGTGGCGAATTGAATAATGTACCATTCGTGATGTCCTTCAAATGCCGCGTATGAGCTTCAGCTCATGCGAAGCGTCTGGTGCATGGGGAGCCGATAGAAAAACAAGCTGTCCCTTCCCCGCTCTCTCGTCTGCAACGTGTTGATCCCAATGGGGCTTTTTCCGATACACCAATTCCGAAAACGCGCTAAACGTCCTAGGCACGACAAGATAGTTGACGGCGACTACAGGGGGGAGATTATCGGCCGGATGCGATTACCTACACTCTTTCCTTAGAGTTTTGATATAATCAGGATTCTTCTTCATATCGCACGTCACAAGGTACGAGAGGAAGGTGCCATTTCGTTGGTTCGTAGGCAGTGGGTGTCCCTTCTATTGAGAAAAACATGATGGGTACTGAGTTTAGCTTGAAGGATGTAGCCTTACTTCTCCGATTCTTCCCTATCTGCGTGAAAATCTCTCGATGCTCGCTATTCCATGCCTCTTTCTGGAACAGTCTAGAACAGTAAAATACATAACAGCAACCTACGCACTTCTTGAGAAGAGGAAGTAACGCTTCAGGGGTTACTTGCGCAGGCAGAGTGCACTGAAATCATTCTCAGACGGTCTAGACTTAAAGCTTAAAGCCTCATGACAATAACGCACCTTTGTGTTCATGCACTCCGCTTTGTCCTTCCAAAGATAATGCTTTCTCATCTCCATAAGAGTGCCCAGTGCATTCTTCAACCTTGCCCACGCTTCCCAAAGTTTGGGCGCATCCTTCTCAATGCCCTTCTCCATTAACAATGGGTGCCATTCAACCTCACGCATAGCCCTAGTGGCTTAGCCCGAATGTCCAGAAATTAACCTTGTTCAAGAGATGTACTAGCACATCATTGAGCGTGTTACGCTTCGTACGATCAGTTGTATGCCCCCCTCCGCGGGTATAAAGTACAGTTGAAATTTCATTATGGATAAGAGCAGATGGGCCTGAAGAGCCTCTCCTACCCATGTGAATTGATCCGTGAATGCCCCAGAAAGATAGGACGCACAAAGCGAGAGGATGCCTTTTGACGTCTCAAAGTCATCCATCGTCATCTAAAGCACCAGCTTTCGAGAGGATAGACGACGCAGAAGTTGACAAGTTCACTTGACGCCATTCGCAGCCACAAAGGCGTCCTTTACAAGAGGAGAATTGACGGAATTTTTGAACATGGTCATCATGCAGCGCTTGAGCACGTAGTAATCTGGTTCTCGAGTGTATTTGGAGGATGAGTCGTCCGAAGCAAGGATTGGCCACGCTGATGGATGCCGTATGAAGGACTTGAGTGAAATCATCAAGCCAGGGATTGTTGGTGTCGAAAGTAATATTCTGGATGGCAGGTCGTTTGCAGAGGTGAGGATCCAAACCTCCGTGATGGTACGCATAAAATTTGGAAAGCGGCCCGATATCTGAACGAATGAAGGTATCACAGAGAGGAGCGAGAAACATTTAATGCGGGTACAGAGGGGAAAAAAACATCATCACAATAAGTTACATTCGGGAAACGAACAGCAGTACAGAAATGCAAATGATGGCAAACTTTCTTAATAGCAGCGGGTTCGAGACAAGGTCATTTACTAACGACCTATGACTGGCATTTCTCAGGGAGATGGGGATGTAAAATGATTTCTTGACTGATTATCCGTCTCTTACAGATGACATTCATCCCTGATCGGGGGAGACCCTTGGGCCCGTCAAGTTAATTGGGCGCTTGGCACAGTGGTAGCGCGCACGCTTCGCATGCGTGAGGTCGTGGGTTCAAATCCCACAGTGTCCACGCATTTAAGTGCTTTTTTTTAGAGTTTCTGACGTCGGGCGGTGTTGGAAACATCTGCCCGGTAGTTGGTCGAGCTTACTTGCATTGTCCAGAGGCTTTATATGTTAAATGGGACCGAAGGTTGATGCTCAGTACTTCAAGCGTCAATGCTCATATATAAAGGAGTCGGTCTTAGTGCTTTGTGATACTGCCAGCCGCAAAGCTCCACGGTGATAAGTAAGTTACCATGTCACCGGTCGGCCAAAAAAACTGTAAATAACCCCTAATTCCCCAATAACTATTACTACTTTGACACCGGCAGGATTTGAACCTAAATAGATGAATGTACATCAAGATTCGAATCTGTCGCCGTAACCACTTGGCTTGGTGCCACATTCCACGGTTCCGACCACCAGCGAAATAAACCGGAACAGAACAAGGCCTTTCAACAATGCTCCTCACCCTTGCCTCACCATCCACCCCCAATCGGATTAACTGCAGCCCTGCCTTATAGTTCTCTTGTTACTGCTGCGTGATTGCAGCAAAGGAGAATTGCTTCTTTCAAGCAGTCAGCAAACTGGTTTGCTTGCTTCACTCTACCGTTCCATTTCACTATTTGAGTTATACATCCTTCTGCGACCATCGGTTCCTACGAAACGCCCCTTCGAACTTCTTTACTTCACGTTTAATTATGTATGGTTTGATTGGTGGTCCTTCACACGATGTACCTCTGGTCCGATCACTAGAAGCTGCCAGCGGAGTAACATCGCAAAAAGTGGAATCATGCGTTCTGATTTTCCGAAATTTACATAGAGAATCACCATTCGTACGCTCCAAATGGCTAGCGCATATACTACTTCCATGTTCTTCATTCCAAGCCAGGGACCAACAGATCCAGATCGACCAATGCGCCGCTACTCGTCAAGGCAGCCTCGATAAATGCGACATCCTTCAGAGCTCCTACCGGGTTCCCAAATGACTCAACCCCTTCCTTACCGTCTGTCGCGTCGAAGAAGCTACCTAACTCAACCTCAACGCCCCTCATTCTCTCATCGACAAGCGTTTCCTTCTTCTCCGTAGTGAGAACGGCTTTGACAAATCCCCCCTCTATAGAAATCGCCGCATATCCTTCTGTCCCTGTAATGACAAATGTATCCTTTGCCGAAACTGGCTTGGACGTTATTGGGAAGGCAAAAGTCATCTCAATAGTGCCGTTATAATGCTTCGAGGCCTTCGCGATGGCATGGATCGTGTCATGAGGAGCAAGATAGTCCTTGTTAAGCGAAGCAAAACTCGAAAGGTGTGTAATGGGTTGAGGAAGCAGAACGCGCAACGCGGCGATAGTATGCTAACACGTCGAGTGTGAGTATCCGCCTTCTCTGGAGATAGTAGGTTAATATGCTTACGACTCCACCATCCAACTGTTAGACGGGGATATTAGAACTCGTGAAACACGGAAGAAAAGCACGCACTAGGAAGCCTCCTTGATACTACGAGCCATTTGTCAGAAGGCAGAAAAGCAATGAAAGACCGGCGTACCTCAGGCACAGTTCTCCACGGCGTCTTGTAATACTTGGAATCCTTGCCCACGTAATTCAATACACAAGCTTTGAACCCTATGACCTTACCAATCGCCCCTTTTCTAATAAGTTTCCCCACCTCCTGGATCCCCGGCTCCACTTCGAAATTCTCCGCGACCCGCCACACGAGACCCTTCCCCTGGAACTCGGACCGATATTGTTCGATCAGAGCAATCCCGCTGGCGACATCAGGGGCAACTGGTTTCTCGCTCAAGACGTGTTTCCCTGCTTTCAGGGCCTTGAGGATCACTGATGGCTGCAAAGGAATGGGAAGGACGATAAGAACCGACGATATGTCCTTCCGCGCCAAGATGGCGTCAACCCCTCCACCGTTTGCGCCATCGTGGTAGACATCCGGCGCAGGAATGTTCAAGGCTTTAATAGCGGCATTCGAGAGACTCTCGGCACTCTTAGCGGAGCGCGAGTACACGGCTTTAAGTGTGGGCGCAGCCTCTCCCAGAGCCGCGAGGGCCGGTATGTATGCTGCATGCGGGGAAAGGTGAAATATCGGATGTGATATTGTAAACGATCGCTTAGATATCTGAAGATACGAACTTACCTTCAGTTGCGAAGATACCGGCACCGAAGATCGCAACGCCTTGTCTCGATGGTGGGGTCATTGTTGCGAGGGCAATCTTGACTACGGGTTCTTGTAAGCCCAGTGTTTGAGAAAATCTGGACCAAATTTAGACAGGGAAGGGGTGCCCAATCACGTGCTCGCCGACAATTCTCCGCTAGAATAACACGACCCCTGCATCTTCATCAAAAGCCTTTCTTCATCTGGTTGATACTAAGATGACGGGATGGAAACGAAGCTATTCAGGGGTGAATCTCAATAGGATCTGTATGCGAACTGTTGTCTTTTCCCGAGCATCCGGCAAATCTCCTTTACCTTTTCGCAGCGTCATCTACCCCTACGGAGTATTCTCGGAGGGCGTGTCAATACTCTTTCTTTGATATCGGTAAATGATTTATGTGGACAGGATATAAAGGCCAGCGCGATCGCGTTTTAAAAAAGGTCCTCTCAAAATGACAGCTCCTTCTATGAACAAGCTTCCGAAAGATTTTTTGTGGGGATTCGCAACGGGTACGTCCACTGTCCTTGTCGACGTATGCGTTACTTAAGGATATTTACTTTGGGGTAGCGTCGTTCCAGATCGAAGGCTCTACGTCTGTTGATGGGCGCGGTCCCTCAATTTGGGACGACTTTGCCAAGACACCAGGCAAGACGCTTGACGGGCGCGATGGTGAAATTGCCACGGATTCGTACCGTCTGTGGAAAGAGGATGTAGCGCTACTAGTCAAGTACGGCGTCAAATCCTACCGTTTCTCTATCTCTTGGAGTCGAGTGATTCCTTTAGGCGGCAGGGATGATCCGATTAACGCGAAAGGTATCGATTTCTACAACAATTTAATTAATGAATTGTTAAGGAATGGGATTGTTCCGTTCGTCGTATGTGATATTTTGGGTTTCGTCTAAGGATGGTGCTTAATGCTTATTTTATAGACGCTGTATCATTGGGATCTCCCTCAAACTTTGCATGACCGCTACGGTGGATGGCTCAACAAGAAAGAGATTACGAAGGATTATACGCGATATGCAAGAGTTTGCTTTGAAGCATTCGGTGATCGTGTGAAACATTGGTGCGTAGTCTTCCTAATATTTCCGTGTAGACTCAGAATGACCGCTACAGGTTGACTATGAACGAGCCATGGTGTATCTCAGTTCTAGGATATGGCCGGGGTGTCTTTGCTCCCGGAAGATCCAGTGATCGTGAACGCTCCGCAGAAGGTGATTCTAGCCGAGAGCCATGGATGTAGGTCTTCCATACATATCAGTTTTTCCTCCTTTAAATCCTCCTAGCGTCGGTCATAATGTACTTCTCTCCCACGCTGAAGCTGTGAAGCTCTATCGGGAAGAGTTCAAGCCAAATCAAGGCGGTCAAATTGGGTTGACTCTCAACGGTGACTGGCAGATGCCTTGGGATGACAGCCCCGAAAGTAAGCCTCATCCTAGAACAATGGCGTATATTTATCATTTTTTCTTTCGCTCAGACGTGGATGCAGCTCAACATGCCCTGGACACCGCCATAGGATGGTTCGCCGACCCAATTTATCTGGGCCATTATCCGCCGTACCTGCGGGAGATGCTTGGGGATCGTCTGCCAGAGTTTACAGACGAAGAGATCCGGCTAGTGAAGGGGTCATCGGATTTCTACGGTATGAATACATATACAACAAATTTGTGCCGTGAGTCCTCTCTCTTTCCTCATTTGGGCGACGAAGATGTGAACAATATCAGGGGCGGGCGGAGACGACGAGTTTCAGGGATTGGCCGATTACACTTTCACGAGACCAGATGGGTCTCAGCTGGGAACTCAAGCACATTGTGCTTGGTTGCAAGATTGTAGGTGCCATCTTCTTTTCCCCATCAGTACATATCGATGATTCCAACATTCTCAGACCCGCAAGGATTCCGAGCTGTGAGTCTTCATTCATTTGTAGATGAATAAACGCCATCTCATGACCATCCAGTTACTGAATTATCTATGGAATGTACGTACTCTTTCAAATAATAACCCCGGTCTGTGTACTAAAGACCTGTCAAGCGGTACCACATGCCCATATAGTACTATTTCTCTTTCTTTTTGTCGAATTTCCCGGTAACGTGCCTCAGTGTCACAGAAAACGGCTTCGCCGTCAAAGACGAGGATGCTATGCCTCTGGAGCAAGCGTTGCTTGACCACGACCGGGTACAGTACTTCCGCGGAACAACTTCGGCACTTCTGGCTGCTATTCATGAGGATGGCGTAGACATACGAGCATATTTCCCTTGGAGTAAGTCCTATCTGAATTTTGCGTTGTCCATCTGACATTGCTCCACGATAAGGTTTCCTGGACAACTTCGAATGGGCTGATGGGTATATCACGCGCTTTGGTGTGACATATGTCGATTACAAGACGCAAGAAAGGTTCCCAAAGGAGTCTGCAAAGGAACTTGTCAAGGTGTGATTTTTTCTGGGACCTGCGTTTTGTTCTAACGGCTTGCTGCAAGTGGTTCAAGGAACATTCGTCGGATGATGAGACTTTGACATCAAAAGCCGGCAGTGTTAAGTCGGACGTTAAGGCTGGCAATATCAACGATACGGCGAGTCCTGATGCGCTGTCGAAGCCGAAGTCACTGATGGGCAGGATTAAGGCGTATGTGGCAAGATGGGTTAATGTTCTTTTGCGCTTGGTTCAGGTGAATCGCCGATGAAGGACGTGATTGTTTCCCTTTTTGTCTGCCTCACGAATGTACTCTTATTTACCCCTGAATTTTGATACCTTGACATTGCACAACCTGGAGTGGGTAACGGATTCTAAAAGGGATTGATCCTGTTTCAATCCAATAAATATCTACCATTACTAATTGAACGCGCCTCCATAGGGCTCTTGGCACAGTTGGTAGCGCGCACGCTTCGCAATGTCATTGCGTGAGGTCGTGGGTTCAATTCCCACAGTGTCCATGTTTGCATTTCTGATGTCATGTCAATCTCTTTAATTCTTGCCATTCATAATTTGGACCAGTTAGATTTTAACGTTCTGAATTAGGACCAAACGGTCTGGGCAAAGAATGAAGACTGACAATGCAAACCAGTCACGTGTGTCTTGTTTATGATGCGTGGACTTTGTGTGGACTCGAACTCTTGAATTCCTCCTATTCATTAAGATATGCGTCGACTAGACCAACTGTCTGCTTTCGCTTTACAGTTTCTCTCGCCATTTCAAGTTCACTCAGCTCCTGAAGTCCAGCTTTCTGGCTCTACATTCATTGGAAGGAAGATCCTTTTTGATGGAACTTATCAAGAGTTCTTTGGAGGTGCGTCCAAATAATCTAATTGCGGGGTTACCTTTGGCTGTGAAAAGTTTCTCCCAAATGAGGTACTAATCAGCATCGACACTCAATATTAGGTATACCATACGCAGAGCCACCAGTCGGCCCCTTGCGACTGAAGGCTCCGGTTGCGAAGACAGATACCCAGATAAAGAACAGTGTCTTTGACGCAAGCGAATATGGATACTCATGTATACAACCTGTGAGTCTCAGAATGCAGTACAAGCAGACCGGAACAAGGACCCCTAGTTTCACTTTTTCCAGGGTATTGCAGAGCATACGGTGTCTGAAGACTGCCTGACTGTTAACATTCTTCGTCCTGCTGCCCTTCCCGAGAACGCGTCTCTACCTGTGCTGTTCTGGTACCTAGGACCTCTTTGTCCTCTGGAATCTTTCTAACTAGATAATTCGGTAAAGGACGTACGGTGGTGGCTTCAGTACAGGTGCATCATCCTTCTACAACGGGAGTGCTATCGTCGCCAGAAGTATCACCAGGGTATGACGGTTTTATCAATCAAGCATCATCGCTTGTGAACGTCACAATTCTAGGGGACGCCTATCATTTATGTAAACTTCAACTATCGCCTCGGACCTCTAGGGTTCCCGCAAGGTAGCGAGGCTGCTTCAAGAAGGTATTTGAATCTCGGAATTAAGGATCAGATAATGGCGCTTGAATGGGTCAACAAAAATATTGCGCTTTTTGGTGGGAACAACGAAAAGGTAAAGATTTTAGTTCCCCATCTATAATATCTGATAGAGGTCGGCCTCTACTAGGTAACCATCCTTGGGCAGAGCGCGGGGGGAGTTATGACGTCTGTTCTTCTCTTACAACCACATATATCGAAATTGGCAGCTGCAGCGGTACGAAGCCGTTCTCACTGCTGCTGAAATTTTCATGGCTAAAGACACATTAGATTATTCAATCAGGAGCAGCAGCCGCTCTTCCCTTCTTCGCTCCAGAGCGTAACGAAAAGGCTTGGAACACATTCGTTTCTTCTGTCCCTGGATGCAGCTCGTGGGTCGGCACCTCGTTCTCAATGAATTGTCTACGAAAGGCCAATACGTCGGCTATTATGGAAGGATTGCGCAAAGTATACGAGGATCCCAAAGCAAGCGAGGAGTTCTGGTTTTCTCCGAACGTCGACGGCGAAGGGGGACTGGTGCCCGATCTCCCAAGCCGACTGTTCAGCAACATTCACCTTCCTTTTATCGCTGGCACTAATTTAGATGAAGGCAGGTACTACGCGGCCCCTTTCAATGAATACATGAACAATGATCTAATCCTAGGTACTGAATTCGTTCCGTCCCGTCATGATCTTTCCGAGGATAGGATCAGGAATATTATCAATGAGGCATATGGCCCGCCTACGATATCATCTGCTGTCATGGATGACCTGATGATGCTGTATCCTGATGACCCTTGTCTGGGATCACCATATGGGACCGGGAAAGAGACGTTCGGCTTTCCACCAGGCTACAAAAGGATGGCCGCAATAAGTTCGATTCCTCCTTCGATGTATTTCCCTCTGAACTAATATCATCACACTGAATAGATGGGGACTTGATGTTCGATAGTCAACGACGTATGATCATGCAGCACGCAGCGAAGAAAAGCGTTAAAACTTTCGGGTATCTGTTTTCTTGCAGTTTGCCTATCTTTCCGCCGCACGCTGGAGGTTTGTTGTCCGTATTTCTTGGAATGCTGAGCTGCGTGTTGACGGGTCGTTCAAGTGCCGCATGCTTCGGAGCTTCCTTTCATATTTGGGGGTTTAGGCATTTGGGAGGAATATATGGACGACGCTTCGGCCGCTGATTGGACCCTGAGCGAAACTATGCTTGATTATTGGATCTCCTTTGCAACGTCTTTGGATCCCAACGATGGGCTTGGTCATGCTCGTTCGTGCTATTTCTTTCTTTCTCTTGTTTCACCTGTCCATACGGTGTCCCGCTTAGGTCCAATCTGGCCACAGTATACGCCAACTAGCGAAGTGCACCTCATTTGAGATAAAATATCAACTGAGCTGACCTGTCTCCCTGAATAGGTTTTATTGCAGTTCAAGTGCGACAACACAACCGTCGTCGCAGATGACTATCGACGCGAACAAATCAGATATATCAATTCTAAGGCTGATGTGTTTCATCACTGATTTGGATGTCTTACCACGTATTCATTTTTGAGAATCATGCAAGTACAAAGTGCTATTGGTAGTAGTCCAAACATTTAACATGCGAAAAATTTAACAAGGATATAATCCGTGGCCAGAATGAACATGTAAAAGACGTAAAGTCCATTAAATATAAATAATATGAATGTGTCAGTCAGAGAGGGGGGTATAGTTATCGGAAAGAGGTGATATACTTTAAACCAAATTACCGGAAGTTATAATATTAATGTTGATCTAGAAAAGTGCTGTTGTAGATGGGACACAAACCGTCCCAAGCTAGAGGAATGAGGAGTCAGTCGAGGAGTCAGGCAACTCTAAATTCTGCCACAACTCACCAGATACTGGATCGATCGCGCTGCTAACGTCCTCAATCCCTTCAGCCAAAATAACGGCGAGACCGCTATACGAATGTCAGTCAAGACAAAGGTTATCTGTACAGAACACTCACGCATCAAGATGAAAATCGATATGGCTAGCATTTAAATTATCAATTCGTGTTCAAGCGATACACATAGTGTAACGTACCAGTGCAAAAACCAAGGTCCGGTATTGTCTGTGGTGAATCGAATGGTCGTGGTTCTACCCTGGACCACCGAAGTTGTGTCTCGACGGACCTACAGCATGCCGGACACATCAATTAGCACCATGTGTTAATCAGTGAACTTATCATACGAACCGGATCAACGAAATTGTACACATCGCTGTCGGCGCCCTTCACTACATCGAAAGTATGCTACAACTCTTGTTAAGACTTATCAACGGTTCAAAATATGCTCACTCCGTGAAGGTGGAAGGGGTGCTAGGTGAGCATGAGCACGCATAGGTAAACCAAAAAACGAGAAATACTTACGGGATCTCCCAGTGCGTCGTGCCCAAAGAAGTTGATTTCGATGACCTTTCCCAGCGGTAAACCAAATACGCTTCCCTGAGGAAGCAGATCCTGTGCACGCTGAGCGCCGCTAAGGATTTGGAGCAGCACAGGAACGCTCGGAGGTATGAATCGCACGCCGTTCATGAAAAAGAGCCCACCATCAAATCCGAGGGTGAAATTAAGGACGAGATCTGCGCCATTAGGAACAGGTCTTCCCGGTGCGCCGGGGGATTCCAGTGGGTGCAGATCGACTTCGCGAAGTGGGATGATGTTTGATTGTATGAGAGTCGTGGGCTCCGCCTCTGGAGCGCCTTCGTAACGAAGAATCGCCGAATTAATACCGCCATCAAATCCTTGAGGACCAGCTTCGTTGGGCTCGGAGCGGATCCAATAGTTATCTATCGGCTGAATTGTCTCCAAGATGACTGAATACCTCTGGGCGGCCAGTATCTGAATTGAGTTGACCGTCAGCGGCTGTGTATTGACGCCGTCAACCTCGATGATAGTGAGGTTATGTCCGTCGATTGAAAAGGTAAAATTGGGGTCACAAGAGATGGAGATGACTCGGAATCGATAGCGCTTGTTAGGAGAGACGGTGATCACGGCGAGGGGAGCTGTGGGCTGTGAGTATAGCTTATTAGCAAGTTCTGACAGTTCAAAAATAGACAGCTGCACTGACGTCCTCAAAGAATCGACCCATTCCATTGATCAAAGTAGAATTTGCGAAGGGAGGGAGCAAAGTGTCGGCTACCTGCCTAGCGGTGTTATGGTACCTGAACGGGCCTGAACAAGGAGCTCTATGGGAATAACATAGAAAACTTACCAGTCTGCCAGAGTAACTATAGTTGTTTCTGAAACTTCTGTCAATACTAAATTTATCATGGGAGGAAAAATAGACCTGCCATCATCCACATCGTATAAAGAGCGGTGAGGATCATATGTACCATTTGGACCGTCATACACGACCAGCGGGCCCCTGAGGCCTTCACAGTACTGAACTCCGATATGAGAGTGATACCAAAACGTTCCGGCTTGTTGCGGGACGCTGAAATCGTATTGGAATGAATGGCCGGGTGTGATGGGGCACTGCGTCACGGAACTAACTCCGTCCTCGTAGTTCGTTCCATGCTGAAATATACCGTGCCAGTGCTACAGGAAATGAGATGAATATATTCAAGATAACGTTAGCAACTTACGATGCTGGTGCCGACACCCATACTTGCATCGGTCAAATCGTTGATTACATTGATGTGGAACTGATCTCCCTGTCGAGGATGTGAGAGCCTATTCCGATGGATCAGGAGTGCCCTACCTTGTTCCCGCTGATCAGGGGACCTGGGAATTCCCCACCTGCAAGTACAGTCCTGTAATAAACGTGAATGAGAACGATTTCGGGGAGAAGGAGGCATTTAATTCCTCACGGACGTGTGACACCGTCGGGCGCGATGTTCTTGTTGACGACATGAAGATCGCCAGAGGATCCAAAAACTTGAAGAGATTTAACCGAGCGGAATGACAAAATAAGGCCCAAGAGAAGAATATACATTAAGTCACGAGAAAGGGTGGAAGAATGGAAAGGAAAGGAAAGTAGGTTGG